TTGGAAATGTTGTTTGTGCTGTATTTAGACCCCTCTATCAAGAAATTTGTTTTGCATGCACACGTATAAAAATTGCGGTTTTTATCCAACGCAATCATAGGTTTGAACGTTGTTTTCAATTTAGACTTGTATATATATATATATATATATATATAGAGAGAGAGAGAATATCATATGGCTTTTTCAATATCACATCCGTATCAACCCGAGACACCAATATAATCTCAAGAGCTCTGCTCGAGGGATTATATTGGTTGAGGGTTGATACGGTGTGTGATATTGAAAAAGTCATATCATATACACTTTATTATATACATATACCTCACGTAGATGTCTTTTTATGTGACATGACGTCATACAGGTAAGGAGGTTTGAAATGACGTCATACAGATTATAGGTTTGACATGACGTCATACAGATTATGGGTTTGATAAAGCCTTTGCAACAGTGACTGTAATTGATGACGTGACGTCATACAGATTAAAGGTTTGATAAAGCCTTTGCAACCGTGCTGATATCGATATCATCACGGGTGGCTGATACAGCACGCTTGCCAATGATTGTATTACACATACAATTTATCTGTATTTACTACTAAGTATATAATAAATATATATATATATATAGATTACTAATAAATCCAATATTTCCGGTATGAATAGTTTTATTTCACTAGTACTTTCATGTTCTTGCATAACAATCTTCAGGTGAAACTATACATGATTCACGTTACTATGTAACGGTAGGTATGTAACGTCATAGTTGTCGTTGAGTATATAAAGGGAGATAAACCGTATTACACTTAGTCTATATATAGAAGTACGGAACGTCATGATCACACAATAGAAAATGCATACTTTGCATTCAATCGTGATTTGAATTTTGAAATAAAATATTTTTCCTTTACTTCCCGTGTTATGTCACAGCCCATATTCATTTTATAAAATGGGAATATTTTAAAAAATCCCATGCCACATTCGTCTTAATGTTTGCTAAGGGGGATTTTTCTGTATTCTGGCTGCCGTATATGCTGTCTATGAATTCGCACTCTTTCAGTAACACTGTTCCCTGTTTGGCCGATACAAATTTCCTGGCAACCATTACATTTGATACAATAAATCAAATTCTCGGATTTACAAGTAATGTCCATATTGTTGAAAAGTGATTGTTCATTTGGTATGTCAATTTCCTTGGATATACATGGATATACGGACATGCTCCACAACGACTATCTCGGCATTTTGACACACTGAATGTTTCCTTTTGGTCGAATCTTGTTCGAGTCAATAGTCGTTTAAGGTTTTGTGGTTGCCGTTTACTTTGCAGAAGTGTTTCTGAATTTATGAAACGCTGCATCTTTTCATCCTGACCGAGAATAGATAAATTTGTTTTTGCAACGGGAATGATTTTATAGTTACGGGGATTATGTGTACATGTAATGACGAACGGTATTTTATCGTTGTTATTACTCTGTTCCTCGCGGGTGGAGCGTAATCGGTTGATTGGAATCTGTTTTGCCATTTGAATTCCCCTTTCTATTAAAGTCTCTGGATAGTTTTGCTTGATCAAAAATGACTGTAGTTCCTCTAGACGGTCTTCTCTCAAATGTTCATCCTCGACTACTTTACATATTTTTCTTGCCAGACAATAGGGAATATTCCTTTTGGTATGAGATGGGTGGCACGAATTAAAATCTAAATACTGATAAGTATCAGTTAATTCTTTATAAAAAATATCTGTTTTAATTTCGGTGCCATTTTTTATAACAAGAATGTCCAAAAACGGCAATTGATTGATATTTTCATCCTTCGTAAATTTTATGGACGTATGAAGGTCATTTAGTATTTCCGAAAATAGTTGGAGTTCTTTGTCGGATTTGGTCCAGATAATGAAGCAATCATCAAGGTATCTTTTCCATGATAATTAAAATTCTCTTGCAAATTCAACTCCAAAATTATTTTCAACTTCTTGATACAGTCTTTGCTCAAGGAAGCTCATGACTAATGTTGCATAGATTGGTGCAAATTTTGTTTCCATTGCTGTCCCCCGATGTTGCAAATAGTTCTTTCCATTGAAATAGAAAGAATTGTTTTCCAGAATAAGTTTAGAAGAATCGAGTATAAAGTCAACAGTGAATCGATCTGGTATTGCATCTCGATGTTTTTCGGCCCAATATTTTATTGCCTCTATTCCTAAATCGTGCGGAATGTTCGTATATAGGCTTGTGACACAGAAGCTTACTAAACGAGCGTGAACTGGTGCTATTTTTGGCAGGTGTGAGAGAAAATCTATATCGTCTCTTATATAGCTCGGTACATATGTACATAATGGTTTCAAAACTATGTCTAAAAAGTTGCTAAGTCTGTGGGTGGGACACGCTGGACCAGCAATGATGGGTCGAAGTTTAAGATCCGTCGGATTTTGCACTTTAATGTATTCGTTTTTTCTGAGAGTTAACGGCCAATTGGATCTCCTTTGATTTATGAATTTTTGGAAAAATATTTTATTTCAAAATTCAAATCACGATTGAATGCAAAGTATGCATTTTCTATTGTGTAATCATGACGTTCCGTACCTCTATATATAGACTAAGTGTAATACGATTTATCTCCCTTTATATACTCAACGCCAACTATGACGTTCCATACCTACCGTTACATAGTTACGTTAATCATGTATAGTTTCACCTGAAGATTGTTATGTAAAAACATGAAAGTACTTGTGAAATAAAACTATTCATACCGGAAATGTTGGATTTATTTGTAATCTATATATATTTCTATACACAAGAACATTTATTATAGTGATCTTTATCAATATTATAGTGATCTTTATATATATTAGCAACTTTTTAGACATAACAATCACCGGTCTTTTTATACAAAAGGAAGAAACTGCCCAATTACGAGACACCTCTTAAGAACAGGCCATTTTTTTGAAAATATCACCTTTCAAATAATTGAGGTAAACAAAAATTGGGACTCCCAAAGTAGAAAACAGAGAGAGAGGTTCTGGATGCATCAGCTACGTACTCTTGAACCTTATGGACTTAATGAGAGAGATGAAAAACATTTCTACCCAAAACCAAAGGAATAAATCCTGAAGAGACCTTATAAAAAAGACAAAGAGGTCAATTAGCGGTATTTATCATCCTAAAGTCATCTTTTCTATCACTTTCAACTGTTTGTAGGCAGATGAGATAAATATTTGATCCTTTATTAGTCCATACAATATTCTATCATGATGCGGCTTGGTTTGGATTTTTCGAAGAAATTTTGCTCAGAGCGCTGTAGATGTCGTCTTACATTATACTAGATTTTGCTCAAACTATTGAACTGATTATGACAAAACTTGACTGGAATGCTTGAAATAACCAGTTTTACAAAGGAAAAAAGTCACATTCAGAAAACAGAGAGTGAGGTTCTGGATGCATCAGCTACGTACTCTTGAACCTGATGGACTGAATGAGAGAGATGAAAAACACTTCTACCCAAAACCAAAGGAATAAATCCTTAACGTCCTTCTATTTAAATAAATCAATTATTTGTTTTGATTTAAGAATTGCTTTGTACAATAAGCGGCAAAAATATTTTTCTAGACATTAAACATTAAGCTGCAAAAATTTCTTTACAGCCTCTGATTTTTACCTGGTTGGCTGCGCGAGCCTGATGAAGCTAATTTGTTTAGCGAAATATTGCGTGAACAATATATAAAACATAACAACTAATTTTATAACACTCATTAGTGTGTTAAAGTGACATTCGTAGGCACTTATATATATATATATAATATATATATATATATATTAAAAATATATATTCAAGTCTAAATTGAAAACAACGTTCAAACCTATGATTGCGTTGAAAAAAAACCGCAATTCTTATACGTGTGCATGCAAAACAAATTTCTTGTTGGAGGGGTCTAAATACAGCACAAACAAAATTTTCCAAAATACCAAAAAAGTAAAAAAGTATATTTAAACAAAACGCATTTGACTAACAGGTCGAACAACAAATGTTCTTAAACCCTGCTGACTGCCATTGGCGATTGCCAAATAAACGGATCACCGATGTAATAAATGGATCTTAATTATCAATTTAATACTAAACAGAAAACATTAAACTTGCGAAAAAGATGATATACCACAAACAAAAGGTGCAAAGGTTTTTGTACACCATATCCGGATTTCCACAATTAATGTCTCTTCAGTGATGTTAGGAATCGAAACGGTATTTGGAAAGCCATACAATTTACCTCAATTTAGGATAAACACTGGACACTTTTAATTTGCAAAACACTCATTTGCAAATCCGCCGCCGCCTCTCTTTAGACCTATAATGTCGTGTATATAACCAAAATGTGCGGAATTACATGGGACTCAATAATTTCATTGCTTTTCTGCTGTTATTATTATATATATGTAATTTGATTTAGAAAAACATGGAATTTTCAAAATCCCATGGGATAATGGTCAATCCAATTGGATTTTGGTTAAATCCCATAGGATTTTTTTGGGTCCCATGGGATAATTGTAGTCCCATGGCATGGGATATTTGTTGTCCCATGGGACTATAATGGGACAACAAATATCCCATGGGACTACAATTATCCCATGGGATTTTTAATATCCCATGGGACAAAATAAAATCCTATGGAATTCAAATTATAAATATACAGTAATGTGTAAGTTACAATGAATTCTGTTTGGTAGTAAAAAGTTTATAATATATATATATATAAGAGTGTATTTTGGTTTTTTTCATTTTGTCACAAACATGTTTTTAATTTGTTTATATGACAATAAAGATTATTATTATTTTGGAAAGTATAATACTAGTAAAAGTCAAAAAATAAAATCCTTTAACTGAAATAAAATGATGACATGTCTTAATAAAAGAAATAAATATTGATTTGAAATCTTTGTCTTGTTTGTTTTATTATGAAAAATGGAACTGAAAAAAATATTTCATATTCTGACTGAATAAATTGACAAAGCACAGTTAATAGTTTACTCTTTTCATGAGTTAAAGTTTTCTTTGTTATAGTTCCATTGCAATACATGAATATGCAAACGATTTGAATCTTATACCGTTGTGGTGTTCATAATTTTACGTTTATATTTGCAAATTTATAAAAATAAACACTTTTCCTGTTAAGTTTTAGTTTTCTTGTTTCAGCTTGCTATGTACAATTATTCAGTCCACTATATAAGAGTCAAGTAAATAAATTATTTCATCCACTAGAATATTCCTACAATTCTAAGACAAAACCTCTTTTGCAATCTGTTCTTCAAAAATCTTCCTCCGTACATCTTTATAAGATGGAGCGATTTAAATGAGTGGACAAAGCAAGTTCATTTGGACAACAAAATACTAATATATTTTTTCATTCCTCTCTTCTTTCAATTGATAATTACGTTGTTGCATTTACATGATTAAGTTCTTGTGCATCTATGATCATGATGTTATGACGCCTTTTTGTTTATAGTCATTATGATGAAATTTCCTCTTTCTTATATAGGAAAAAAACATATTCCATTTCAAATTAATAAAAAAGTCACACTATGTAGAAAAATATCAACTTTAAGTTTTCTGTTCAGTATTGACTTGTTGAATGATGATCATGAAAACCAAGATGTCTGACCTACAAATACACAAAACTCAAAAATTATAAATGAAGAGAAATACAGCAATAAAATGGCTATTTTATCATGTTTATGTACATTTTGATAAAACTTTCATTTGAATATTTAAAATTGTAAGAACTGTTATTTCAGTGCTTTGTGTCTATGGTTTTCATATTAGTTGTTTTTTGTGCCTTGTTGCAGTCTTTTGAGTTAAGCCAATTGCAACAAATGTTTACAGTTTGTTCAAATGTTGTGCTGTTATTAAAACCACTGTCCCAGGTTAGGGGTGGGTTGGGTGCTCACAAAATGTTTATTTTATTAGTTGATATTTGCTTTGAATTAGCTGTCAGTAACTGTGAGTACTAATAGATCTTTATGTTGAGTCTTTTTTGTTAAAGGGAAAGAATAATTTCCAGCCAAATCCGGTCTGTGTTTTTGGTAGCTGTTTTTCTGCTTTGTTGCATTCTAATAAGTTAATAAAATTGAGAATGAAAACGGGAATGTATCAAAATAACCTGACCAAAGAGCAGAAAATAGCCCTTTTCAACTGATTTTATAGTTTTTATATTTAAATGAACTGACACTTACACCACTGTCCTTAATTAGAGGAGGATTTGGTGCCAGCAAACATGTTAAACCATGCCACATTTTGTAAGTGGCTGTCCCAAGTCAGGGTCCTGTTATTCAGTGGTTGTCAATTGTTGCTATATATCATATTTGTTTGTTGTTTTTTGTTTTGTGCAAAAATCAGGCACTTAGCTTTCGCCTTTGTGGTGTTTCCCCTAAGCATGTTTAGCATGGATAGACACCATGCCCTTTTTGAATTGTTTTACATTTGTTATTTCATGGCCTTTTATAGATTACTATGCCGTATAAGGTTTGCTCATTGTCGAAGGCTGTACAGTGAACTAATTTTGTTAAATTTAATGTCATTTGATCTCTATTGGAGAAAAGTCTCATTGGCAATCATACCGCTTCTTATCTTCATATCAACCCTGCCATATTTTGTCTGTCCAAAATCAGGAGCCTGTACATAGTTCAGTGGTTGATGTTGGTTCACGTCCGTCATATTTGTTTTTTCATAACTTGTTTTTTTTTTTATAAATTAGTCTGGTATATTTGAAGTTTGAATTGATGTTTTGTTCCAAATTTTGTTTGTGGTGTCTTTTATAGATGACTATATCATGTAAAGGGTATGGGTTTTCTCATTATTTACAGGTCATCATTGGCCTCTAATAAGTAATTGCATTGCCTACATCCACTTAATTGAACTCTAGTGGATAGTTTTCTCATTTATCATACCACATCTTATTTTCATAATAATCATTATTCAAGGGCAATAACTTTTATAGAAGTGGACTTACCATTAAGGCTTTGTTGACGTCTATAAATCTATTTTTGTGGATAATTTCTTTTGTTTATAGTTTCCCTTTATCTTTAATGTCCTTGCCCTACACATAAAAGGGTAAACATTATCATTTAATGACAATAACAACTATCACATAATTAGTACTAGTAGGCAACTGACAATTTTGGATCATTTATATATCTTGTCTTGCTCATCATTTTTGCTGTTTAATATTATCAATATTCTATGAAAATGAGGTCACAGTAATATTAACCTTGGCAGACAGACATCTTCTTAGTTTTATATGACACCTTGCAGTCATTCCATACACCAACAAGTATAAATATGCTTATAATATCTGATAAAATGAAAAAACCAAGAAAACTTAGCATTGACCAAAGAACCATAAAATGCGGTCATGGTTATATGAATCTGCCAGACAGACATGCACACCTTACAATCGTTACATCCGCCAAATATAATTTACCTGTTGCTTAAAGCATATGATAAACTGACAAAACAATGCAAACTTTTCATTGACCAATGAACCATGAAAATAAGGTCAAGGTCATATAAAACATGCCAGACAGACATGTGCATCTTACAATCATTCCATTCACCAAATATAGGGGCCTTATTGCTAACAGTATCCGAAAAATAGATCAAACCACAAAAACTAAACATTGTCCAATGTACTATGAAAATAAAGTCAAGGTAAGATGAAACTTCTCGGTCAGACATATGAACCTTGCAATCATTCCATACACCACATATAGTTGACCTATTGCTAATTTGAAAATAAGGAAATAGAAAAGTGACCAAAAAACCAAAAAATTACATTGAGCAATGAACCATAAAAATGAGGTCAAGGTCGAATAAAACATGCCAGACAAACATACATCCTTAAAAATTTTCATACACCAAATATACTTGACATGATGCATACCGTATTAGACAAGAGTGCACACGCTGAAATGTCTCGCCTTCTTTACCCACCATTGATTTTATGTTGATAGTCCTAAATATAAAGCTTAACTACAAGTAACACATAAACTTAACATGATCCAAGAAAATGAGGTCAAGGTCAGATAAACCAAACGAGAAATACATGTACACCTTATAATCATTCAATAAACCAAACAAAGTTGACCTATTGCTTATAGTTTCTAAGAAACAGTCTTAACCAAGAAAACTTAACATTGACCAATGAACCATGAAAATGAGGTCAAAGTCAGATGAACCATGCCAGACAGACATGAACACCTTACAATCAATGTATGCATTAAATATAGTTCACCTATTGCTTATAGTATCTAAGAAACAAACTTAACCATGAAAACTTAACATTGACCAATGAACCATGAAAATTAGGAGAAGGTCAGATGATACCTGCCAGACAGACATATACACCTTACAATCCTTCCATACAACAAATATAGATGATCTATTGCTTATAGTTGAAGAAAAACAGACCAAAACACAAAAACTTAACACTGAGAAATGAACCGTGAAAATGAGGTCAAGGTCAAAGAAAACCTGCGAGACTGACATGTACATCATAAAATATTTCCATACACCAAATATAGTTGACCTATTGCCTACAGTATAAGAAAAACAGACCAAAACTCAAAAACTTAACATTGACCACTGAACCATGAAAATGAGGTCAAGGTCAGATGACACCTACCACTTGGACATGACACCTTACAATCATTCCATATACTAAATATAGTAGACCTACTGCTTATAGTATCTGATATATGGACTTGACCACGAAAACTTAACCTCGTTCACTGATCCATGAAATGAGGTCGAGGTCAAATGAAAATTGTCTGACGGGCATGAGGACCTTGCAAGGTACGCACATACTAAATATAGTTATCCTATTACTCATTACAAGAAAGAAATTAACATTACAAAAAATGTTGACTTTTTTTTCAAGTAGTCACTGAACCATGAAACTGAGGTCAAGGACAATGGACATATGGCAGACGGAAACTTCGTAACATAAGGCAGCTATATACAAAGTATGAAGCATCCAGGTCTTCTAGCTTCTAAAATATAAAGCTTTAAAGAAGTAAGCTAACGTGGCCAACGCCTCTGGATCACTATCCCTATGTCGAGCTTTCTGCGACAAAAGTCGCAGGCTCGACAAAAAACTGGACATTTTTACCTCGGAATAGTGATGTCATGGACTAGGAAAATTAGTCTGGAGACATAAATTACTGACATCGGACTAAATATACTAGTATATTCTGTATTCATGGACTTTTAATACTAGTTTTATTTGTCTGACTAGACAATTTTCATTATTTTTACCAGGACTTAATTTATCTCTTACACTAGTTCTCAGAGAGACATGTCACCTTACCTTGACACATTATTCTGACTCTGAACAAACCAGTATTTGCTCTTACTCCTTAATAATACTTCATGCTTAAGGGAGAAGCAGCAAATACCAACTTTAAAGTCTTTGGTTTTACCCGGTTGGGTTCAAAATGAACAACCTTCTGCACTTAAGGTGAACACGCTACCACCAGACCAGGCAGTATAATATAAGGAGTTTACCCAAGATTTAAAATGGACAGTAGATTTTTTTTTCAACATTCTGTACATTTCTACCCTTGTCAGATATTGTCTTTCTATTTTGGCATTTTGTAGCTTATTATGCAGTTTGGCTTTTTAGCCCATTGTTGAAATCTGTACGGTGACCTATATAGTTGTTAACTTCTACGTCTTTAACTTCTGTTGAAGAGCCGTCACATTGGCAATGATACTATATTTGTTTATATTTTTGTCATGTAGGTGTAATTTTTTATCACCTGGCCTGGTTAGTTTTTCAGGGTTCGTAAGGATAGAAAACCCGGCAAATTGTAACAAACCCCTGTGGTATATACAAGATGATAGGACGTGCCGCTTGAATAGATCACTTTTTCCAGCTTGAAAATATAGGAATAGGTACAGGGGAAAACTATCAGAAATATATGATAAGGTCGATAAAATTCCAATTACTTGTATATGAAAAGCCCTGTCATTTTTTCACAGCCGAAAGTTTCGCCGTAAGTAAACATTACACACAGAATCTTAGCCTTAAATATTCCACTTTTCCAACACACCCCACGAAACCCAATCAATATGGGAAAAGGTTACAATTTTACCCACGCAATATATGAAAAGGTATACATTTTTAAGATCTAAATTATATGAAAAGGGTGGGGTAACAGAACCCCAGCGACACCCCCTATCAATTAAGTATTGAAGTGCCCCCCCTCCCCGAGGTATTTCAAGTTACTGCTACAAGATATTTGATTTGCTAATCACGCACCCGTTGCTGAGCAGAGAACCGTACTTTCAAGCCAGGGACAGTCTATACTAACAGTTAGTATAGAAAGTCCCTGTAAAAAGGCAGGCAAATCCTAACAGTACTGGAACTTAATGATACATGTATATCAAGTTACAGCACCTCACCCAGCACAGTTAGCACACTGGTGTGTGTCAGTCTTATAATATAAAACTGCGTAGGTTCATATCGTTTGATTCAACGTTTTTTCGGATATTTTTTAGGACCGTTGTCAACATGGTCAAATTCTACCTGCCACTTTGCAACCTGACCTGCAAAAATATAATTCGACTAAAAACAATGCCAGTCAAAATTGCTTTTTGAGACTGGGCGACTGAAAAGTTTTAAAATGTGACCTTGTGACCCTATTTGGAATTCTCTATTCGTAGGTGTGGCTAAAAAGGGGGCATTGTTTTTTTTTCCTTGGGACAAAAAATTGTTTCTATCTTTATTAAAAAAAATCAAGAACAATCATAAACTTTTTTTTCAAACTCAGTGTCGTATTTTATTGTTTTCCCAACAATTTTTATTAAAAGCTTAAAATGTTTGTTTCACTCCCCTCTGACTTCCCTCCTGATTTTTTTCTCAAGAAATTATAGAATCAGTAAATGGATATATACATATGTCTGTGGTCACCGTCATGCATTTAGATAAGAAATTCCAGCATGCATCATCAAATAATTCATGTGTATTTGTGACATCAACATAACTGAAACATTATATTATTTGCCAGTAATTAGGTAAATCATTTTGATTTACCATTATATATGTCTGGGACTTATGCATGTATATGTCTCACAGGCACTTGTCTCAGAAAAAAAAATCCTATATACTTTAATAAAGGTATATAGGAAATAAAATTCTGAGACAAGTGCCTGTGATACATCTGTCAGTCCCAGAATAATAAATAATAATTGTATCTTAATCTTTGGAAAAATCCGATCATTAAATTGTTAAATTCTTTTACTTCATAATTATGTCAAAGTATACTTTTTAAAGTTTTAAATTTTAAAGTTAAAATGAATATTCCGTTTTGATCTGAGAAAAATCTTTTTAAACTGTAATGACATGGTCAGTCAACTGATTTGTTACATGGCTGATTACAGGTAATTAAAGCATGCAGTAATTTTCCATTACGACAGTGCGTGTACCCTGGGGTGTGTATAACGTATTAGAAATACCATAGTTTTCGGGAACATCCTGTCTATGTGTAATACAGATTGATGACATTACACAAAATTTCTTTCGTTAAATGTAGTTAAGTATCTGTGTCCATTCCCTATTGCATTTTCGTTGAAAAAAATGTTAAAATAAAAAAAAAAAAAACATTTATATAAAATAAAGAAGAAAAATGTAGCAAATAAACTTATGTAACTACGCAGTGAGTAAACATAATTTCACTTTACATGTACAAACCCTTGAGAAAACGTGTATATAGTTGTGTTTAAAATGGCCAATTTCCAATGGATTTATTTCACACTAGGACCACAGGCGCTTGTCTCAGAATTTTGTTTCCTATATACCTTAATATAACATTAAAGTATATAGGATTTTTTTTTCTGAGACAAGTGCCTGTGACTAGGACCTAAGATAACTAGAACTAAGTTCATTGGAAAGTCTTTTTGTCTGATACGTGTATACCTATAGATACTGTACATAATTATTGATTGTTGGTTGCTTAACGTCCAGTGGTAAATATTTCATGCATATTCAGGACGAGAACAAATTAACAATAAATACTATAGGTAGGTTCTGTAATAGGGGCGTCCGGGATTAAGGTCGGAGAAATTTAGACTGCCACGGGA